AAACTTACTCGTCTGACATAAAATTGACTTCCAATAGAATTTTGAAGATGCAAAAAAATTTGAGGATGTAAAATCTTTTTTTATTAAAATTTCAGAAAATCTTTCCTTTGAAATTGTGAATTTCACTCGAATTATTCTATCAAAAATTGTTAAAACTTGAGAAAATTCAAGGGAATATACTTCTGAATTTTCACACTAAACTTCAGCCTTTCACTCTCCATAAAATCCCAATTTTTCAAAACAACAATTCCTTAATTAGTCATGCAATCGCTTGTTTCACTAATTCATTCCCTCTCCCAGCCATTGTTGAGTGACAAGTTCATAAAAACATAAGGACATTGTACACGAGACGACGACGACAGTGTCAAAAAGGCCCCCCCAGCCTCACACAATTAATCACGCTCGCATTTGTGGTTATTTCGTTTGTCCACGGGCACGCCCCGAGTGCACAGAGAGAACTCTCGCGAGTACTATGTAACTCCACAATTTTTTTCCATTTTTCCTGCTTCATTGTTCCGCATTTAATCGTTCTCAGAACAGGCTGATTGTTCCAGTCGTGGGAGAGTTTCAGGGCGGTCGTGCCCCCTCCCCTGATCCCTCTTTTTTATTCTTTCATTACAAAAGTCATAATTCATTGTTTTTTTTTTTCAAATTAATCCACCTCCTATGATAAACAATTTTGTTTTCTGTTTTCTTGAAAAATTATCGAACAAGTCAAGTCATTGTGGAGCAAACTCGATTTTCAGTAATTTTTTTATCGCAGATGAGGGGAAAAGTGCGAGAGGAATAGTAAATTTCCCTCCGTTGGCCGGGGAAATTTACTGAATGTTAGAGTAATTCCTCGTCAATTCTTCCTCAGCGAATTCTCCCCTTCGAAATTAATTTGTAGACTTTTTTTGTCAAAGTTATAGCAATTGTAAAGTTTGAGCGAGTGACGACTAGACACGCATCTGACCATTTATATCTCAAGTCTTCTGCATTTTGTAAAAAAAATTCAAAAGAGCTTTTTCGTCGGGAAAAGTAACAAATATTTTTATTCCATACATGTATGTTTTTTTTTTATCAAACGAATCGTAAAAGCTCCTCCCCAAAGAGATATTTTTTCATAGAATGGCATTTCACCGCCGCGATTTTCTAGGTAATTTTTATCCTCCATTTCTCTCCGCGCGGAGGTGAGAAAAAATGATGTCTGAGGTGTTAAAAAAATATCCGTCGAGTCGCGGTGGAAAAATAAAAAAGACACATTTACCCCGATTGGCTGTAGCCAGGCACAAAATTACAGCGTTGTAAGGCCCCATGGATGTTGGCCGAGTAGACCACCCGCAGTTCAAACGTTGAACAGACCAATCTCCCTGGGTATGGACTAATCGCACGCCCCCATGGCCCCCGCGTGTCGGTGGGGTTAATTGAGGCACTGCGAGCCACTATATCTCCCACCTTCCACTCTCCAACAATCTGCCCCCTTTGGACGTGTTTTTTTCTTTCTCCAAGGTTTTTTCTTGTTTTTATTATCTCACTGTGTGGTGGCTTCTCGCCACCTTCGAAGATCCACCTCTCGGTCGCCTCTAGCTCACCCCGGGGGAGGGGCAGGGAGCGAACGGGTGTGGAGACTGCTCTATTAGTCCAGAAACCACTTTCTCCGCTTTTTAAGGACTTTTTTTGGCGACTCTGGGATCTCCAATCATCGTCAGGATTTTTTTATGGAGGTTTTTGTGTCGTCAGCCCCGTCATTTAATTGGGAAGGGTTATTCTAACTCATCAGGATTATTAATAAAGTCTAGGTAATTAATGGGGGCTCTTTGGGGGTTTTATTTTGTAATTCTTGTGGATGGAGATTAATTGTCAATTTGGTTGGGTTTTTGAGGAGTTCGGGAGATAGACAGAGATTCAGAGCCTTAGGTTCATCAATGAATTGATGAAGTAATCATTGATTTTCTAGAATTAAAATTTTAATATTTTTCTTGACATTTTTAGAAAAATTTTAGGTAAACTTCAGGGAAAATGTCAAAGAGTGAGGAAATTTCAAGTATGTATTGTCTATCTAGTTGAATTTTATACTGGCTATTTATATTCTACTTAAAACTATTCTAATCCCCTGTAAACTTCAGAATCTTTAATGATCGTCAAGATTTTTTCCTCACCGTTTTTTGCGTCGTCAAGCCTGTTATTTAATCGGGAAAGGCTGGGATCTCTAATCATCGTCAGGATTTTTTTGGGGAGGTTTTTGTGTCGTCAGGATTATTAATAAAGTCTAGGTAATTAATGGGCATTTTTTGGGGGGTTTTATTTTGTAATTTTTACGGATGGAGATTAACTCTCAATTTGGTCAGGTTTTTAAGGAAATCGAGAAGTAGAGAGGGATCTAAAGCGTTAGATTCATCAATTCAATGATGAAGGGTCGTTAATTACGTGCGAAAATCGATTTTCTTGAATAAAAAATTGAATATTTCTCTTGACTCAAGACATTTGAGATGAAAATATTCTTGAATTTTTCATTATTTCCATTTTATCCACTGGAATTTATATTTTAATGAACTAGAAATAATTTTTTTTAATTTCATCCCAAAAACAATTATTTTCCTCAATTACTGGATTTTTTTCTTGGAAATTTCAGGTAAACTTCAGTGAAAATTGGGCCTTGACCTTTTATTTTCAATTTGAATCAATAAAATCCAGAGCCTCCACTGCATTGTCGTTATTGACACAACAAAATCCATGTTCTTGATCAAAAAATTAAATACCTCTTAAAAACATTCCCCACAACGATTACAACAATAACAAAAAACTGCGACGTTATTACCAACTTTACGAGTTGTCAATTTCCCCCGGAAACCGTCGAGTCCCGTCCGATTGGCTGTTGAGCCCTATCAAGACCCTTTTTCCATCTCCCGATGTTTTCCTTTTTTCCGATCTTCCGCGTTCCTCTTTTCTCCCCCGGTTTTTCATGTTTATGGCGTATGGGTAGGCAAACGAAAAGAATCAAAAGAGAGGGAGGCCACAGAAGTGTATATCCTGAGCGAGCATGCATCGAGAGGCCTACAACGCGATACGCGCGCACTCCTTGCGGGCTTTATGGTCACGCGAAATTCCTTGGCTTGTCGTAAAGCTATTTTATAGGATATGTAGACAGGAGTTCTTTATAACCGCTTACCTCAAACGTCCCAGCCTCTCTCCTACCCCTCCGCCCTCCTGTTCCATGTTTAAAGGTTCAATCATCATCCCCTTGTTGTTTATTTGGTTGTTTACTGTTATTTGTGGAGGATAACAGCTTTCACGAATTTCCAGACTTCAGAAGTTTATTTCTACGTTTTTACTTTTATTGTTATCGAGGATCTAAAGGAGAAAATCGACTCAACACTCGACTCAATGAAAGCGAAATCTTCAGTTCAAGAATACGATTTTGAGAAAAAAAAGTCATCAATTTCATGGAATATCTCTAGAATAAATTGGTGAATGAATGAAATAAAATACTATGACTCTGGAATATTTCTCAAATAAGTAATTGAATATTTTATTTAAATTAATAATTTGATAATTTATTTGGATAAATTTAAATTTATCTAGAATTTCCAAACTCCAGAAGTTTATCTCTCCATTTTGACTGTTCATAGTTATAATTTAAAAAAAATGTATATAACGATGAAATCATCGGTTCAAAACCACGATTTTGAAAGCAGACGTCAATTTCATCAGACATTCTCCACAATAAAGAAATAAACGAATAAAATAAAAAGTCGTCCCTCTAAAATATTTCTCAAATGACTTGTTGACAACATTATTGAACAATTTAAAAAGGTTTTCTTCGTTAGTGTCAATTAGATGATGCCTATTAAGCAGATGAATCACTGGTAAAACCCATAAAACCTTTGGAATTTCATTCATTTCAATTTTATTAACGTACAATTTTTTTTAGGCAGAAGTTGTGAAACCCAACATTCGAATGAATTTATACGCTTCCATATCTGAAATTGTGGTTTGTCGTGTAGGTAATAATGAGATTAGGGATAGCGTGGAAAGATTCTAGAGATCTGAGAGAGGTGTCAAAAGGATTCTGTGGTTTATTCCACTCGTGATTCTAAAATTGGTTGGGAAATCTGACATTTACGGTTGAATGCTCGTGTTTTTTATTCCATTTTTTTTAAAACCTATTTCATTTTATTATTTTTTACGAAACGTACAAAGATAGCTTCAGTCTTATTTACATGAAAGAAGAGGGGAGAGTATTTTTCAAATTAAAAAATTAAGTCTAAAAATAATTTTCTTCACTTTTTGCTGCAGCAAGCCTCACAATTGGTTAATTAATATTAAATAATTTTTACATACATCTTGCATACACAATTTTTTTTCATAGTCTCGAGATTATTTTCCTCTACAGCGTCGAGACATCTAATTGGGAGATACGTGGAAAGCTTCTTCAACCCTGCGACAGGAACAATTCGAATGAATATCAAGAATATTTATCCGAGTCGCTCCCCCGGGCGCATGACGACTAATAAACATTTTCTATAGTTAAAATAGACAAGCACTCATCCATCGAAATTCACGATTGATTAACTTAAAAGCTCGAGTCTAACGTAAAACGATATTTCTAATCACTGCGAATATTCAGTTAATGATTATTGAATTAATGACGTAGGCTTAAATCACAAAGTAATGGCGTCTCCTGCCAGAGATTAATTCATTTCAAACAAAATCGTTGAGGATATATTTTTTTTAACAGAAAATTTGCACGTCGTTATTTTTAATTTTAAGAATACCAATGAGAGAAATTTTATTTTAGTTGAAAACTTCAGTGCGATTGTTCGCCGATTGATAATTTATTCTTAATCAATTATTATTGATGATAGTTCCATCGAAATTGGATGGAAAAATAGAAGAAAACAGTAAGATTGAGGTCAATTGATTGAAATTTCATTCAATTTTTAATGAAATCTAGAATTTTATGATTTTTTCTTGCTAAAACGAATTCAATGTTCGTGAAATTTCAATTTTTTCCAACATTATAGGGCATGTGAAAAAAATATATGTTTGAAAGTTGATCGATTGGAATTTGAAAGACTGACTCCATGCAAATTTCCCATTCCACCTGAAAAATTAATGCTCAACGACAAGTATTAACCGTCCGCTTGACATTACACGTGTTACAAGTGACCTCACAGCACCACTTGAACCTGCACTGGCAATTGACTTTCTCCTTAACGATTTTAGTGTCGTACCCTCGACCACAGCACAAAAGTTCACAACCCTCGACCCCGGGACTGGTGGCATTGCACTGGCGCCCCTGTGTCCCGAGTGAGCCAGTCTTTCTGTTGGCCCTGCAGAAGTCCGGGGAATCCTCACTGTAAATCAGATCGAACCTACCAGGTGGCTTGATTGTCGATCCCTCGGGGATGAAATTGTGGCCGTCGTTGGAGGGAATTACCTTGGCAGCGCCGTCGAACGAGTCCTTCAGGCGATTGCCAATTTCACGAAATGATGGCATTTTTCGCCAGCATGTTCGCACTGTGCACGAGCCGGAGAGACCGTGACACTTGCACTCGGTTCTCATGAAATTTCTGACGGCCTGGAGAGCAAATTCATTCATTCTAGGATTTTTTTTGTGCAATGAGATGATTTTGATGATTTTTTTACGTGTGATTGTCTCATTGACGAATGGATTTTGACAGAAGAAATGTCAAAAGATAGATATTTTTTTTAATTAATCAAATGAATTTTTTTTTCTAGTTTAGTGATGAAATCATAATTTTTTTCGGTGAATTCCTGTTTTAGAGGAACGAAAAATTATTAAAATAGAATTATTTCCTGGAAATTTCATCGTCTACAAAAAGCATTTCGTGAAATTTACTCTAATAAATCGATAATTAACAAAGATGATTATCAATTCTCATTCGAAACTCATAATGAACACAAATAAAATATGTTTCGAATAAAACTCTCTTCAAAATCAATGGCATTTTAATAAAAATTCTCACCAATCTCCCAGCATCATTGTTATGCAATTTAACGAGTGTTTTTATGTCACTCCTCTTCCTGTACGGAGCGTCCATGAAGTCCCTCGACTTCCTGAACCCGAAGTTGACGTTGTCCCCACATCCCCCCCACTCCCACTCCCCGTCAGTGGGTAAATCCTTGATGCGGGACTTGCGCGAGTGTTTACCTAGTTTATGACCTAACAGAGCCAATGGGATTCATCTCTGATGAAGAAAAATACTTGGATTGCTCATTAAAAAAAAGTTTTGATTTTCAGGGACATGTCACTAATTTTCAGGGGCATTTCCTGATTTTTTAAATTTTTCACCATTGGTTAGTGACATTATCACTAATTTTTGACATCGTTATCCAGTTTGAGGCAAGTCGTCTCTAATTTCCAGAGTAATGTCACCAATTTTCAAGGACCCATCTCTAATTTTTAGGAATCCATCATCAATTGGCAGTGATAAAAATCACTGATGATCAGGATTATTCAAGTCAGTATCCAGTATTCCAATAATTAGCGAAAGTTTTCTGAAAATCAGTGACGCATCCCTGCAAATAAAAACTTTTTTTTTCTGCGGCTACTTGCTCACCTCTGGAGTTCATTTTTTCACACGAACACTCCACGAGATCGCCCATGGTGCAAGCCCTGGTGACCGCGTAGGTGACGCCAGCTGCTGTGATGGCATTCAAAAAGCCAGTTTCCCTAGTGTCTGCAGCAGAAATTAACAGAAAAATTAATTAATCTCCATTCTCTTCAATTTTAATATTCCTCAACGACGAATTACGGTGAATTGTTTTCACGCATAAAAACCAGCTGAAAATACAGTTCTGCAAGAGTCAATTGCACCGCAGAATCTCGGATACACCTGCAGGAAAAATGGAGATTGCATCTACTCCAATTTTTCCAATCCGCAGTTCCCGAGAAAATCTTTATCGGCTAATCTTCACGGTAGCTTACGTCCATGCTCTTCGGGTTTGCCGGGACACGTGCCTGATCTAGGCCGTTCGCAGATAACACTAATTACGTCTCGACATTTCCACCAGTTTGTCGTTAATTACCAGATGTCAATTCCCGGGAAAGAGGGAAAAATACCGGAGATAAAAGGAGAATAGGACATCGGGTGGTCCCCAATATCTTTAGAATCGTAAGTCAATTCTTGAGGTTCGAATCACTCATTCAAACTTCACTCGGTCGATAAAAATCTTTTTTTTTCTTGCAAGAAAAAATTTATGGAATTATTTCAACTGGAATTTTTTTAAAATTTTTTATTCTTCAAATAAATTAAAATGTGTAATAAAAACTTCTGGAGTTTCCATCAACACTCTAGTAAAATATGCAATAGATCGAGTAAATTGCCAATAATTTAATTGCAATTACAGATTTTATATTAAAATAACAATGTTTCTACTACAATTTCAACTAAAAAAATTTAATTCTCATTTTTCGAATAAATTAAATTCACTCATAACTAAGTAAAAAACGGAACAAGTCTTAAAATCCTAATATTTCAACTGAAATTACCCATTTTAAATTGAACCTACAATCTTTCCTCCTAAAAAAACTTTTTTTTTTTTAATTTTTCAAACTTTTAGAGGGACTTTCCAACAAAATTATCCTCTCAGTATTTTTACCGAAGTGTCAGGAAGTGCCAGAATCCCATATCACTCTCCTACTGCACCCACCCATTTCGAAAAACCCCTGGCAATTTGCTGCTATCTCTCCTGGATATCGAGAGTCAGAAAATAGTAGTTCATGCGTGCCAGGTTGTTTCGTTTAATGGTACAAGATTAATGGTGAAGTGTGCGAGTAGAGGGATTGCTACAGAAGTACAGCTATGCATTCTAAAATCCTCAGCAGAATGACGATAAAAGATGAATCCGCTATCCCCTCGCGTGTAATCGCCTTCAAACTCCGAGCTGCGATATTGAAAATTTTATATCTCGTGCAAAATGCCTCGCAATAATTCAGGGTTATTTATGAATGAGAGTTTATTCAACCGATAACTATTCTATTTATGATATTTCAACCCCGCGAGTCATTAAAAATAATCAGAGTTGAACAAAAAAACACTGTCCGATCGTTTTTCAAGGGCCCCAGTAATTAGGGGAATTAATAAATTTCTTTGGGCAGTTAATAGGTGTTCTATATTTCTTTTTACACGAGGGGGAGTATATCAGAGTCATTCAAGGCCTTGGGAAGAATTCAGAATCCCACAGTGCTGCTGGGCGATGGGAGAGACGTGCGTGGTCTCCAAGGGGCCTTCGGCGTGTCGTATATTGGGTTTCACCTGTCACGTTTCCACTCCATCATTAGCGGAACAATGCCCAGTTCCTAAACCCTTTAAAAAAAATATATATGTGCTGCGCCAGATTACACTGCTATGTACCGCTTCATCTGGTGTCTTCATTTTTATTTTCGAATTATTCGTTTTTTAAGGGGGTCTCGGCCACTCCTTTGCATCCGGGCTTTGCAAATCTACATTTTTTATTCAATTGAAATTCGGGGTAAAGAATTCGATTAAATTAGAATTTAGCTGGGGTTGAAGGGGGAGGTGAATTGGATGTAACTTTAGATGAATTTAAGGAGATTCGGATTTTTTTAAATTGAATATTGAAAATTTTAGGAAAAAATCAATGGGAATGGTAAATTTTGGTTCAATTATTTCCTGGAAATTGATAGAAATCAGGCAATTTGAAGGAAATATATTCTTGAATTTTTAATTAATTGAATATTCAGCGTAATTTGGCACTGAATATTAACGGTTTTATGGAAAACTCAAGTAACTTTGCGAATTTTCGTCTTCCTGCTGCTGAAAAAAATTGCGATTTTAATGCATTTCAAATGGAATATGAAATTTCATGATTTTTGTCACTCTCCTGAAAACTGCGAGTCCAGAGTCCAAGAAATTTCAATTTTATTCTAACTGCGCCAGCGAAATTGCAAATTTCTTGAATTGAGAATATTTTTCTCCAATTAAAACATAAAAAGCAAGTGTAGATTTGCTACCAGGGTTGCGTGAAAAGAAACTAAGTAAAATCGTGACTAATAATTTTTCAACCACCCCTTCTTATCAATAACTAATGAGAACTGTTTCTTGCAGGAAATTAATTTTTTGTGGAATTCTGAATACAACTATTTTATTACGATAAAAAAAATAATGTTGTCGGTAAAAACCCATTGTTTATAAATTATTTATAAAAAGCGCTTTCCCCTGGCAGGAAAAATTCAATCAAGTTTCAAATTTTAACAACGATTCGTGAAAATGTAAAAACATCAGGAACGAGCGGAGGAATTCTCCTCTCCAATTGCTCTCCCCCTCCGATTTCGCATGAAAATATTGAAAATTCTGATAGCATTGAGATAAACCCCACCCCTTTAACAAAAAAAACATCGGCGCGTGTCACTACGCGCCTCGTTAAAACGGCAAAAGAGAGGAGACACTGTCGGTTTCCCCGCGCCTCAAACCAAGGAGGTGGGGCATCAAGTAGTATATCTACATTTCGATCAACGGAATTAACTCATAACCCGGAATGCCACTCCAATTACGGGTATAAAGTGTGTGTATAACAGCGTGCGTTTGCAACGCACTTGGGAGTGAAATCCATCAGTATGCAGTCTGAAATTTTCCTCCTGCTGCGTTTTTTTTCCCTTCATTTTTATCTCGTTTCATTTTCGAATCGGAATATCTCTGTACTGGGTTATGTATTCCTGGGGTATTGGCTGGGACTATCACACGCCGCGATCAAGGAATCGCTGGATTTTATGCCAATTCCATGTGCAATTACGTTTAACCGCGACTCCCTCAGCTTGTTTCACCTTTTAATGCGTAACGAGCGCTTTTTCTGGCAGATGAGTATGTCACATGGATGTGAGAAGTTGACGAGATTGAGGAAGGATCCGTTTTGCCCCCGCAACTAGATTTGTGACTGATTAAATTTATTTTTACAATTTTTGGACGTGATCTACGACTTTAATACTCATTTAATGAAATTCAAAACATGAAATTGACATGAAGCATCAATTGGGGAAAAATTCAAAATATTCATCTGAATTTTACTGATTTATATTCATTTTCTTGGAATAATTGAACAGAAATTTCCGGTTTCCCTCGATATTTTCATAAAATTTGGAATTTCAAATGACGAAATTATTTGGAAGTCCAGTGGAACGGATGGGATAAGAATTTCCAAGGGTGTACCGCAAATTTTAGCCGAAAAATTATAACAGTGCAAAGAGAAATTAATCTCTTGCAGTTTTGTTAACGATATCTAAATACTTTGATAATTTCTTGTGCTGGAATTCTTATCTACGTTTGTAATTTGACATCGGAGCACTCAATTAAGTATCATATGGCATTAGGTTTTCTATTCAATTAAAAAATTGCAATTCTAAATCACAATTTTATCAAAAATCGTAACCAAATATTTCAACAATCCCGATCCATTTATAAGAACGAAAAATTCCAAACCTAACAATTCTTAAGATATTTCTCCCACAATTTGAAAATCTGGAAACTCTTAAACAGCAAACACCTCGGATTCATAAAAATACCTCAAGCCCGATGAAAACCGGCGATAGCCCATGTTAAACAATCAAAGAATAGTGTCAAGTCCGTATCTCCCCTAAAAAACCCCCACAACAAAAACCTCCCGAGATAACACGGAGTAAAGGGTTAAAATGAAGAAGATTGGTTTAGTGTGTATTGGGTTTATACGAAACGCGTTAAGCCTGCGTTTTCCATGGGTTCCCATGGGATTCCAAGCGTCCGGTGGGTATCTTTGGCGCGGATCGACGGCCGACGAACCGACGGACCGTGGGCTGCCACCGCCCGCGTATCTCCTGATGCATCGCCTCACCTTTCAGTGCGTATTTAAACGATACGATAGTTTTATACGAGCGATCTGATATCGAGTTCGAAGCGAAGGGCCCCGAAGGGGAGGCCTCTCACTGGCACCGCTCTCCAGCTCTCTCTCCCCCTCTGGGCTTCAACAGTGAGACTTCACCGGACCCCCCTCCCCCCATCTGACTTCTTTAAACATGACGGAAGCATCGTGTGGGCCCTCCCTTGATCATTTACCCATTTTATTCATTTTGCATTTTTTTGCGATCTCTCTTGCTGGATTGGCCCTGCGTCGATAAGACTCGTCACTGAGCCATCGGATATCTCCGCATAAATTTGTTTTTGCACGTGTGACGCGGGGTAATCAATCATTATTACTCCCCGCGATGACGGGTTATTAATATCGATTGATAATATTCGAGTGAGGGAAAAAATACAGTGGTAGAACGTTTTATTTGGATTGGAAATGATGGAGCTCAGTTGCGATGAGCTTTAGTCATCATTTCAGTGACATTTTGAGTAAAATGTGGATCATGCGGAGCGTTGAAAGTTTAAACGAATTTGTTTAAATTTAAAAAGTTGCAAATCGAGTGAGAATGTTTGAAAATTTTTAAAAAGTAGGAGGGAAGTTTTTTTATTCTATTTGGAATTTAGGGGAGTTGATTTTCGATTTTTGATCCTCACAAATTGAAATTTCATGGAATGTTGAGGAGTAGTTTTCAGAAATTCTACGATTTTTAGCAGCAGAAAGACAAGAATTCCCCGACTCGCTTGAATTTTCAAGGAAAACATGAACATTCAGTGCCAATAAAATGAAAATTCACGAATATGTTACTGTTTTTTTCAAATTTCTATTAATTATCATTTTT